ATACATGTATACACATTGCTTGAAATATACAAGTACACATACTGCTTGAAATATACAAGTATACATACTGCTTGAAATATACAAGTATACACACTGCTTGATATATACAAGTATACATACTGCTTGAAATATACAAGTATACATACTGCTTGAAATATACATGTATACACACTGTTTAAAATATACAAGTACACATACTGCTTGAAATATACAAGTATACATACTGCTTGAAATATACAAGTACACATACTGCTTTAAATATACAAGTATACATACTGCTTGAAATATACATGTATACGCACTGTTTAAAATATACAAGTACACATACTGCTTGAAATATACAAGTATACATACTGCTTGAAATATACATGTATACACACTGTTTAAAATATACAAGTACACATACTGCTTGAAATATACAAGTATACATACTGCTTGAAATATACATGTATACACACTGTTTAAAATATACAAGTACACATACTGCATGAAATATACAAATATACATACTGCTTGATATATACAAGTATACATACTGCTTGAAATATACAAGTATACATACTGCTTGAAATATACATGTATACACACTGTTTGAAATATACAAGTACACATACTGCTTGATATATACAAGTATACATACTGCTTGATATATACAAGTATACATGCTGCTTGAAATATACAAGTATACATACTGCTTGAAATATACATGTATACACACTGCTTGAAATATACAAGTCTACATACTGCTTGATATATACAAGTATACATACTGCTTGAAATATACAAGTATACATACTGCTTGAAATATACATGTATACACACTGCTTAAAATATACAAGTACACATACTGCTTGAAATATACAAGTATACATACTGCTTGAAATATACAAGTACACATACTGCTTGAAATATACAAGTATACATACTGCTTGAAATATACATGTATACACACTGCTTGAAATATACAAGTTACACATACTGCTGAAATTTATACAAGTATACATACTGCTTGATATATACATGTATACACACTGCTTGAAATATACAAGTATACATACTGCTTGATATATACAAGTATACATACTGCTTGAAATATACAAGTATACATACTGCTTGAAATATACAAGTATACATACTGCTTGAAATATACAAGTATACATACTGCTTGAAATATACAAGTATACATACTGCTTGAAATATACATGTATACATACTGCTTGAAATATGCAAGTATACATACTGCTTGATATATACAAGTATACATACTGCTTGAAATATACAAGTATACATACGAAAAGTATTACCAAGGGAAATTTTTTTTAAGACGGACTCGCGTGAGGAAACAGACTAGACATGTTCTCGACGGACTCGCCTGAGGAAACAGACATGGTAATAGTAACAACAATAATAATAATGATAATAATAACAACAATAACAAGAACAAGAAGAAGAAGAAGAAGAACAACAATAATAATAATAATAATAATAATAATAATAATAATAATAATAATAATAATAATAATTCTATCTCAGCATGATGCAATGTTGGTAAACAGATGAGTGATATTTTGCTGTACAGGCAGGAACCTCGTAGGCAGGAACCTCGTAGTTAGGAACCTCGTAGGCAGGAACCTCGTAGGCAGGAACCTCGTAGGCAGGAACCTCGTAGGCAGGAACCTCGTAGGCAGGAACCTCGTAGTTAGGAACCTCGTAGGCAGGAACCTCGTAGTTAGGAACCTCGTAGGCAGGAACCTCGTAGTTAGGAACCTCGTAGGCAGGAACCTCGTAGTTAGGAACCTCATAGGCAGGAACCTCGTAGTTAGGAACCTCATAGGCAGGAACCTCGTAGTTAGGAACCTCGTAGGCAGGAATCTCGTAGTTAGGAACCTCGTAGGCAGGAACCTCGTAGTCAGGAACCTCGTAGGCAGGAACCTCGTAGTCAGGAACCTCGTAGTCAGGAACCTCGTAGTCAGGAACCTCGTAGTCAGGAACCTCGTAGTCAGGAACCTCGTAGTCAGGAACCTCGTAGTCAGGAACCTCGTAGGCAGGAACCTCGTAGGCAGGAACCTCGTAGGCAGGAACCTCGTAGGCAGTGTGGAAAATTGCATTTACTTGGACGTATCATTATATACATAACAGTAAATGATCAAAGATAATTATTATTTATCAGTTAGACAAGTAGGAATTTGGGACACCTAGGTCGCAAAAAATGTCCCCCCTCGATACCTACCACTGTCTTATCCACAAGTTGCTCTGGACCTATTGATTACAAATGAAAAATACATCACCAGGAATGCTGGTAAATATATAAATTTGTGGACTGTATATTAAAAATAATAAATGATTATAGATACACATATATACATATTTATACAACAGAAGGAGAATATATCTTAATCATAACACTCACCAATTTGACTGGAGATTAATGTGTCATGTACAGGACCTCCCCCTTTTGCCTACATTTATGAAGAATTTACTGGCCAGAAATTAAACATAATTTAGACAGCTTATCTGAGGTTCCTGGAGTTGTCCTGTCCTGTCGCCTGATTCTCAAATTATGCAGGAATGCACATCCAACAATTTCGCCTCCTATTTGAGAGATGTCAGCCAATTTTAACCTCTAGAGCACGAAAAATTCCTCCCATTATTCACAACGTGTTATTCAATTCAAACAAAATGGCGACTGACTCCCCCAGCCGCAGGTTTCCCATTTTCGATAACATACTTTTTTTAAAAATACAATATAAGGCATCTATTTACCTATAAATTACCATATTTCCGGAAAATATATACAGTATTTTCCACACTGCGGCCGGCCGGAGTTCGTTGCTAAATGACTCAAATTGCTCATTTGGCAATGGTGGAGGACCTGGGTACATATAGGATCTGGCATCCACATGGCGACATATTACACAAGATTTAATCACCCTTTTTACACTTTGCCGTCCTTGTGGAATCCAGAAAGTTTCCCTAATACAATTTAAGGTATCTTGTACCCCACCATGCATTACATTTTTATGGGCATTTAGAACAATTAAATTTGTTAGATGATGAGTTTTGGGCAGTAAGATAGGGTGTTTAGCATAATCATTCAATTCAGCATTTTGTAACCTACCTCTGCACCTAATTACACTGTTCTCTAAATAGAGCCCCAATTTCTCTATTATAGAACCTTTCACAATTTTTCTTTCCATCATCAATTTAATCTCATTTCCATAGATTTCCTCCTGTACACTCTTTATCCAATATTCAAGAGGATGTGAAAACTTATATGAAATATTCATCTTGTTTAGAAATTTAAACACCAACTTAGTTACATTGATTAGTTTGGGTAAAGAAGAATACCTATTTATATCAATGGCTAAGGAAGGACAAACTATTGGAGCGGTGGTCACAGTAATTTCAATAGGAGCAAAATACGCCTTTTGTACAGGCCAGTTAGCTTAATTTACCAACCAGCTCGGTCCTTTAAACCATGATACAGCATTTACAAATTTAGCATAAGATAAACCTCGAGACAAGAAATCAGCTGGATTCTCCTCACCAGGTATATGATTAAATGTTAACATATGCTGACCCAAACTATTATACTTCTCTTGTATCTGATTAATTTCAGCGACTCTGTTTTGTACGTACACAATTTTACTGTTTCCATTATGAATCCATTGTAAGGATACCTCATTATCAGACCAAATTACAGAGTCGCTAATATTTATCTCCTGCAACTTATTTCTTATATAATTAGCTAATTTGACACCTACATAAATGGCTGTTAATTCCAACTGAGGCAAGGTGCGTGATTTAATTGGAGACACTTTAGCCTTAGTCAGGAACCTCGTAGTCAGGAACCTCGTAGTCATGGAGAACATTTACGATTTTACTGCAGCGAATCAAGTTAATCCTGCTACTTTGTGTGTGTGTTTTTAAAAGTACTTGTTTGTATATTTGTGTTTTTAATCATTGCTATAACAGTCTTGCTCAGAACTTCGTTTTTTATATAATGGCCACTCAAAAAATTCCATGACGGGCGACGAGGCTCCTCTTTTATGTTAATAGTTATCTTATCTGGTTATCTTGTGTGGCACGTGTCAGTAATAACTGGAGAATAACTGCTGAGAGATAAATCCGTAATCAATTTCAAGGGATCATCGGCTCCCTCCAGCCCCCCTGGTCTCTTCCCGAAATTTCCCTCCCCCCCCGACTCCACTCCCTTCATAACTCCACTGAAATTTGAATAGTGTTTCATGAGCTAAATGAAGTGACTTAAAATCATTTATTATAGACAAAAACTGTGTATAACTGGAGAATCAGGATGTTAGTTAGGGATCTGGTTAATAGATGGCGCTGACATACAAGCTGGTCCGTGATGTAAACACGACCACAAGAGTACAGTCCTGGACTCATTTTGCTCACCTCTGACCTTTTGACCTGCATCCACTGGATGGTTCTAGGACTGCTAGCAGCCACTGAATGGTTGTAAGGTGGCTACCACCCACTAGATGGTTGTTGGGTGACTACCACCCTCTGGATGGTTGTAGGGCGACTACCACAAACTGGATGGTTGTTGGGTGACTACCACAAACTGGATGGTTGTAGGGCGACTACCACCCTCTGGATGGTTGTAGGGCGATTACCACAAACTGGATGGTTGTAGGGCGACTACCACCCTCTGGATGGTTGTAGGGCGACTACCACAAACTGGATGGTTGTAGGGCGACTACCACCCTCTGGATGGTTGTAGGGCGACTACCACAAATTGGATAGTTGTAGCTGTACTCGCCTGTTTGTAGTTTCAGGGTCGAGTCATTACACAGATGCCACTACACACATAATGGCTACATTACTCCGGATAATACCACAACGACTTACCCACCTCACAGTTATTCGAACACCATCTATATACAATTCTTATAATGGATGAAATGTATAATTTCTTTTTAGCAATGTATTGTGTGAATTTTGTATTTTGGATAATGTATGTTAATTTTGTTTTGCAGCTGAGAATGTCAACATGAGAATACATTGTAGAGGGATGATGCGAGGATGAAGGAGCAAGTTACCTGGTGACGCTGTTGATTACAGGTGACACACAGGTGGTCTAGGTGACCCACAGGTGGTCCGGGTGACACGCAGGTGAGGGCAGGTGTCGCACAGGTGGTCCGGGTGACACACAGGTGGTCCGGGTGACACACAGGTGGTCTAGGTGACACACAGGTGGTCCGGGTGACACACAGGTGGTCCGGGTGACACACAGGTGAGGGCAGGTGGCACACAGATGGTCCGAGTAACACAGCAATCAGATATAAAGCAGTAGACACATTATAGAGACCTTTATAGCCCATCGCAGCGCAAAGTTACTGTCACATTGCAACTTAAAGTTACGTAAGAGTTACATTACTAACAAACATGATTAATAGTTACCTCACGAAGTTACTCCATATTCAAAGTTACGTCACAAAGTTATCTCACTAAGTTATTTCACAAACAAAGTTACGCCAAAGTTACTAAGTCACTCCACAATCAAAGTTGCGTCACACGTTACCTCACTAAGTTACTCCACAATGAAAGTTGCGTCACAGTTACCTCACTAAGTTACTCCACAATCAAAGTTACGTCACAAAGTTACCTCATTAAGTTACTCCATAAACAAAGTTACGCCACAGTCACCTTACTAAGTTACCTCACAATCAAAGTTGCGTCACACAGTTACCTCACTAAGTTACCCCACAATCAAAGTTGCGTCACACAGTTACCTCACTAAGTTACCCCACAATCAAAGTTGCGTCACACAGTTACGTCACAGTTACAGCTGCGTCAGAAGCAACGCAGCTGGGTCCTCCGTCCGCTGGCTGTCTCTTGGATCAACTGTACTCTGCCGTGAGCGAAGATGGGCGGCAAAGGTAGCAAGAAACTAGTGCCTAACAGACCTCCAGCCCGGAGGGCCCCATCAGGGCCAACACCCACCAGGATGGTCCCTCAACCAGCCACCAGGATGGTTCCTCAACCAGCCACCAGGATGATCCTTCAACCAGCCACCAAGAAGGTGTCTCAACAACCAGCCACCAGGATGGTCGCTCCTGACGGTGGCTGGGGCTGGATGGTCGTTTTTGGGTCCTGTCTCACTCTGGTTAGCATACCTCTCTTACCAGTATTCTATAATTACCGTTGAAACACCATTCTCAACGGATTGCCTATATTATTCTACGGGGGGAGGACGAAGAGGCTCTTGATCCAATGAACGTAGCTCACCCTTCTTCGAGTCCGACCTGAATACCTCCCATTTCCGGAGATACTCCATAACACCTACGGGTTTAGCTTCCCTCCCTGATTAAACCACAATGAAATTATCTTTTGGTTGGAATTTAGGTCATCACCAGTTGACTGGATCAAGAGCCTTTCACGGGCATCAAGGTACTCCCTTCACCCCCTCCCCCCCTTATGAAATAAATCGCTTCTTTCCATAAAGCTAAAGTCTTCCTTTATGCAAAAATCCACAGGGGGAGTTGAATGATAGCTCTAGGCCTTTCGTGTTGCAATTAAACATAATCAGGAGCTTGCAATTTTGCAGAAATAGAGTAGGAAATCGAGGCAGATTTGTTCAGGGGAACGTTCGATCCCCTGAACAAGTCTGTACGGTGCTCGTACGGCGCTCGTACGGTGCTCGTACGGTGCTCGAGATATCACCTGCACTTAATAATGTAATCCATGTGATCTATGTCGCTTATAGAGTATTGATGTCACTTTAACTGAGTCAACAGCATCACTCATGGTATCATAACATTTCTTTCCCTGATGTCTAAGTCCCTAGTCAAGCTCACAGTCTCCTGACATCTCTTTCATCACCGTGTGAAGTTCCTGGTTACATCTCCTCCTACAGTTTTTCTTCCCGGCCATGACGATGGCGTTCGGTGTGTTGTTCCGGGAGAGGCTGGAGCAGCTGGGGGCGCGAGCTACCGTCTTCACCGTTATTGGTAATGGTCTCAGCACCTTCTGGAGTTTCATGGGTAAGTTGCTGGTCTCAGCACCTCCTGGAGCTTCATGGGTAAGTTGCTGGTCTCAGCACCTCCTGGAGCTTCATGGGTAAGTTGCTGGTCTCAGCACCTCCAGGAGCTTCATGGGTAAGTTGCTGGTCTCAGCACGTCCTGGAGGTTCATGGGTAAGTTGCTGGTCTCAGCACCTCCTGGAGCTTCATGAGTATCTAACAACTCAGGAAGTTCTGACATTACCACGTCTGTATCTTTGCTGACTAAGGTTCTGGCTTCAGCACGGGGAGAAACGCACGCTGCATTGTCATGCAGTTGCATCTCCAAATGAACGTCTCTTCACCATGCTGATAATGGTCGTGTAATAAACAGAAACAAAGAGGCTCGGTCCTCCATAAGAGACTTAATCCTCTTATCTGTGAGACCAGACTGGAGGGCACAGCGACCCCGGCTCTACTGACCGCTACAGGAGAGATAACTCACGTAGAATGGTTCCTCTGTGGCAATTTCAGTACTGTATTTCACGAAGTGGTGAACCATGTCCTTGACCAGTCAAACTGTTAGTGTCCGCTGGAGACATCTTAAGAACATATGGTCACAGGAAACTGTCAGAGAACGCCCGAACTACTGTCTCTGAAGTCACTGATTACGTAGGTTCGGCTTACAAGCGAAGGAACTGGGATCGATCCTGATGGGCGGGATGGAGACGTTTGGGCAGGTCTCCCCACACCTGCTGCGCCTTGTTCACCTACCAGTAGATGGGTACTGGAGTATAAGGTCGACTCTTGTGGGTAGCATCCTGGGGGAGGGTAGTATACCTTATTGGAATGGGTTTTGACATGAGTTGAATTAGTTTCAAATCTCTAAGACTGTAAATATACTGAGGTTGGATAACAGCTATTGGCCCGTATACAGCTGTGACTTGTCTCTGCTGAAGTATTGTAGATTAATGTGAATTGTTTTAGTCAATGTATTGTGGCCTAGTTTTGAATTGTTTTAACCACGGTTTTGTGGCTTAGCTGTGAAATGTTCCAGCCACAGTATTGTTCCAGCTACGGTATTGCTCCAGCCTCGGTATTGTTCCAGCCACGGTAATATTCCATCCACAGTATTGTGAACATTAATCCCCGCCACACACACACACACACACACACACACTCACTGATGGGGTCTTCCCCTTCTCTCCCTCTCGTTTACCAGCATTGATGATGGCCCCGTTAACGGAACTGTTCGGCTACCGTCGGGTAACAGTGGTGGGAGGCCTACTGGCCTTCCTCACACTCTTACTCTGCGCCTACACCGCCAACGTCATCACCTTCGCTCTGGCTTACTCGGTCCTGGGAGGTACGTCAAGCTCTTTAACTTATTCTTATAATGAATAATTAATGATTATGATAATTGTGTGAAGTGTAATAAGTGTAATAAGTAGTAGTGTAACTGCTGCAGGGATGGCGTGCGCTCTCTCCACCTTCAGCGGTCTCGTCATCATTACTCGGTACTTCGATCGCCGTAAGGGTCTCGCTAATGGAATAATCGCCTCCGTCTCTGCTCTAGGTAATTTATATGTACATTTATATGGTTGTCCCTCAGGAAGAGTTGGGGATCGAACCCGTGGCAGGCAAGTCCTGACAGCACACACTAGTCTAGGAGTTTTAAGCAGATATATGTATGCTGGGTATTATAATCTTCCATAACAGAAGCTTACGTGATTGTTTGGTTCTGAGTCTTTGAATCTGGCGATGGTAAATTAGTGAGTATGGACGCCTTAGGATGCTCTAGACCGTAGTTGAAATCCCTTCTTACTTTCACATCGCTTCTTACTTTCACATCATGAGAAACTTCAGTTACATGAATTCAAAGCGAGTATGCAGATTAGATGTGTCTCAGCGGAGGCTGACATACTGAACACATAGTGTAGGGGCCAACCTATTTAAGATACAAGGTTCGTTAATCAGAGGTTGGTTGGTCGAGTACTTGACCAAATTGAGCCTTTCAGTTCTGGTTGATAAAGAAGAATTATGAAATCAGGCTGACTGTGCTTGGTAACAACCACCAGCGCTGCTTTATCATCTCGGACCTTCATTCTTGCACATAATGACTCACACTTTCCCTAGTGTCTGGGAGTCGAACAATGCACCACTTAATCACCACATCACGAATCAATATAGAATGCATTTCAAAGTTATTCGACTCTTTACCCGAATGTACTCAGACTCAGTTATACAAGTATTGTGTTAGTGTCCAGACGGTAAGGCATCACACTCTGCTAAACTCGACTTGTTCCCGAACTTTTAATTTGTTTACAACAAGTCGCACTTTGCCTGGTGTGGCATGCAAAGAGTATGTTACAATTTATTCGGCGTATGTCACACTCCCATATAGGCTGCCTCCCAACCAGCGAACCGGGTGCTAAGGGTTTAACGATTATTAGAGTACCCGTCGTTAAATCAGTACCTTGGTTCATTGATCAATTACAGGCAAGCCCGCCAAAACTGAGGCAATGTGGTTCACTTGCGGTCAGCATTGGCAGACTTGCCTAACTGCTGGCTGAGTACGGTGCACTCTCTCTGACTTTTGCTTTGCCATCTGTACATATTTGTGTACATATTTATATATAGTGGGTGAAAGTAAAATATACATTAAAGTCTATCTTCTGAGTTTTTTTTTTGCTCCAAACCCCATTACGACCAGGTCACAGACCATTCATTACCTGTCTTTGTAATACCTGGGAGAGAACGTATCACCTGGGTCACCTGCCATACAAGGTCTGGCTTCTTATAATATAAGTATGTGCGTGTTTGCATGCGTATTAAACAATACTTATTCACCTTGCACTCTCTTCTGATAGGAAAGATTGCAATGGCACCCTTGATGCGTTTCTTTCTGGACGAGTATGGGTACGTGTGGGCATGCCTACTGGCGGGGGCACTCTCTCTCAACGCCTGTGTAGCTGGGATGCTCTTCCAGCCTCCAGAGTGGCACCTGGTAAGTACTCTTGTATTTACTGCCCCGGTGAACAGAGTTCAGACCAGAATATGGCGTCAGGATGCAAGAAAGTTTGTTTACATAGAGGAAGAGTGTTGTAATGGCATCCAAGAGGACGTAGTGTGTGCTAATACTACTGGGAACTTACACAAAAAAATAATGTTAGTTTTTACACAGATCGTGTAAAAATGAACGCATCGCACTGTCTCTATAAGTCTGTTGAACATTATGTGTATGATGGAGACGCGAAGAATAGGCGGTGCTGAGGGATGAAGACCATAATTTTTAAGATTTTACATAAAATTGCAGTTACTGTTTTTAGATAACCTGAGACAGGCGACCGTAAACACCGCCTTTAATTGAAATAAGATGATCAAATGCCGTAGAGTAAATAGGTATAGTTTTGGTAGGGATAATGCGTTGAAAATTATTATTATTATTAATTATAGATACCAGAAAAGCTTAAGTTAGAGGAGGGATTAAAACTGGAGAGCTCCGTAGCGACCACACCAGTTGCCATCACAGAGAATGGTCTGGTGGAGAAGAAAGGAAGGAAGGATGGTGGTGAGGCTTCTGTGAAGAAGCCAGAAGAGGAAGAGGACGAGAACATTATCTTCGTCATGCCGACCACACCAACAAACATCCATCCTCCTCGCAGAGACGATGAAATAATCCTCTTCTCAAGAGCCTCCGAGGTGAAGGAGAGAGAACACAAGATCAGCAAACTATCACTGGCAGAGTCCAGGTCGTCCCTGGTGGGCTCCCTGCCCTTGCTAACACCCGTGGAGCAGAGAGTGTATTGGGACGCCAGCGACCAACCCACCACCTGCTGCAGCGACTGTCTGATTGTCAAGGTCTGTACATTAATTCATTTTCTCCTGTATACATTATTGATTATGAATAACTAAAGTGTAATGAGCATCACTGAATATCTTGAAGTACAAATATATTTTGATAAATCTCTTTGACTGGCTAGATAAAAATATTTTTAAGATTTCCGTCATTAATCACGATAAGTTTGTCATCAACTATAATTAATGTTCTGAAATCTGAAAGAATATGCTAACAGTTCTACACAGTTCCCAGCTCTAAAATAGTTGCTCTAAGAAAACATTTTACACATCATATATTCTGGAATGGATTTAGGCACAGGTACACATAAGTACAATTATCATATATAGTGTAAATTTCCAAGGATAACCCAAGAAAGTCACACAACGTGATTTATTTCCATTGGTGCCCTTGTAGTGTTATTTCATTCGGAAGATCGCCTTTTTTACTCCCTTATTTGTCCACAATGTTGTAATTGCAGGTTTTCCGCATGTTGGACTACGAGATGCTCAGACAGCCTTACTTCCACCTGATAGCCTGGCCTAATGCCTTCGGTATCTTCGGCTACGTGAACATCATGTATGCTCTTCCTGGCTACGTCGCTGCCAGCGGCTACACTCCCTACCAGAGTGCTTTTGTTATCTCCTTATTCAGTGCCTCGGAGGTGAGGACTTCCCCCTACATCAAGTATTGTAACCAGGTAGTTTCAGGTAGCTCTTGGGGAGGGTCGTGCGACTGGCTGGATGGTTAACACTAGAGTAGCAGAATTTACCTGGTTAACACTAGAGTAGCAGAATTTACCTGGTTAACACTAGGGTAGCAGAATTTACCTGGTTAACACTAGGGTAGCAGAATTTACCTGGTTAACACTAGGGTAGCAGAATTTACCTGGTTAACACTAGGGTAGCAGAATTTACCTGGTTAACACTAGAGTAGCAGAATTTACCTGGTTAACACTAGGGTAGCAGAATTTACCTGGTTAACACTAGGGTAGCAGAGTTTACCCACATGACCACCTCCCTGATCTTCAGGACCACTTTCACTGTTTACCATGTTTCCATTCACTGGTAGATATTTACTAGTGAGTTACGTACCGTTTCTTCTTCTTCTTCTCCTTCTTCTTCTTCTTCTTCTTCTTCTTCTTCTTCTTCTTCTTCTTCTTCTTCTTCTTCTTCTTCTTCTTCTTCTTCTTCTGGTAGACTCATGACTGGACTCTGTCAGGGTCTGCGTCATCCGGTGCGCCCAACTTAGTAACCTCTCGGCTTCCCACATCTTTGTGTGGATGCTTCCTGGTTACCATTAATCTAAAATTTCATCTTCTCTTCCTCGTGTTGTTGTCATGATTAATATTAGAACCGAAACAAAACTATTTTTGTTCGTTATGTCAGTTTGTTTCTTACTGTGTTGTTGTTTTATCTGTAGTTACGCTGAGCTGAGAACACAGGCTCCCTTAATATATGTAATTATTCATAACTGAAAGAATGAGACGCTAGTACAACATTTGGGAATCTTTATTACGGACACGTTTCGACAGCCAGTGTTTTTTTTTTCAGTCCATTAGAGGAAGCGGTGGAAGATGAGGTATTTGAGGTAATCATTCCCTCAGCCTGGAGTCGATGTTTTCAGTCCATCAATTGTCGCACAAATGTCTCATTTCCCTTCCCCTTCAGTACCTCCATCACCAGCACCTCCACTCATCAAATTTCCATCATAATCGCATCTAACCGACAAGCTGAAAATGGAAACGATACGGCGTGATGGTGGACCATGAACTACCATAAAATCGCCAGTGGTCTTGTGGCGACGAATAGTAACATGTATTATTTACCCCTGACAGGCTGTGTTCCGGCTGGTGTTCGCTGGTCTCTCCGACTACCCCTGGTTCCCCTTAGAGTGGTCTTATACTACTGGCTTCCTTATCTCCGCACTTGCCGCAACAGGTACGTCATCTCTCACAGCTTCCTAAGAGTAACAGATGCTCGACATGCCTCTTAACCTCCTAGAACAAAAAGGCACAATACCGTGAGTGGAACAATACACAGATAACCCGCACATAGAGACAAGAGGTTACGACGGCGTTGGAACATTTACAAAGTCACACCTCAATTCACAACATTCACGGAATTCACATAAATATTTTTCTTCTTGAAAATCTCATAAAATTGTTCGTCACATGTCGTGAGATAATAATGTTGATTGTAAATGTGAATTAACGTTGGTTCAGAAGCAACATATTCAACATTATAATGAAGGAATCTAACCCCAGGATGTGGATTAATGAGCCAGAGAGCAGCGTAATGAAGTGTTTAAACCCATGTTTAGGAAAAAATTAAAGAGTATTAATAATTAATTATATATATATATATATATATATAATATATATATATATATATATATATATATATATATATATATATATATATATATATTGTATGTATATATAATTTCTAAGGAAGGCAAGTGCAACGGCAGGTCATCAATGTGGCTGTTTCAGCTTGACGTCGGTCTGATCCAGGAGGGATGAAGGGAGGGAGGGATGAACTGAGGGAGGGATGAAGGAAGGGAGGGATGGAGGGAGGGAGGGATGAAGGGAGGGAGGGATTGCCCCCACTTATCCTGACTCTTCCACACTGAACAATGATGATCAGAGATCCTGGCAGTAGCCACAGCACTGACAGATCACCTCCACGGACACTGCTGCGCCGCGCTTACTAATGTTCACAGTAACACACACACATAAGTGGGAGGAGGAGGAGGAAAGACAGAGGGGAGAGAGAGAAAGAGAGAGAGAGAGAGAGAGAGAGAGAGAGAGAGAGAGAGAGAGAGAGAGAGAGAGAGAGAGAGAGAGAGAGAGAGAGAGGAGGGAGGTTGGTTCTGAGTCCTCGGAGAAAATTAATGAACGGTTTACACTCGTGTCTACAAAGATCCAAGCAGCACAAAAAAATCTATTTTATCATTTCTGCTGATGTCTTTCTGTTGTATTTTATTTATTTTTTTTCAAATTGATTCATCAAATTTGAAGCATCAGCTCATTGTTACCAGATCCCGTTGAAAATTTCAGCTGGTCCATTTGACCGCTGAAAATTGACTTTGTTGACTTTAAACTGAGTGAAATGTTGATGTACAACTTGAGATTATTCTGAGAGATCGAATTCAAACTTTAGCTTCATTTATAATACCTGGCTGGAGAGTAAACCTCTACCATCACAGTCTGGTTGATCCCATCTAGTATCCTAGTACACTACCAGCCTCAGTGGGTTTCCGTATCCATTTCTCTCAAGTTGTCGCCACTCCTCTGCCTCACACCCTGCTTTACACCCTGCCCCACACCTTGACTTACACCCCTGCCTCACACCTTGCCTCACACCCCGCCCCACACCTTGACTTACACCCTGCCTCACACCTTGCCTCACACCCTGCCTCACACCCTGCTTCATACCTTGCCTCACTCTCTGCCTCTCCTCCAGCACTAGCAATGTGGGACTCCTACGAGTGGATAATCTTCTGCGTGCTGCTGAACGGGGCATCCATGAGTCTGACCAACGTTCTCCTTCTGCACGTAGCGGCGGAGTACCTTGGACTGGAAAAGTATGCTCAGGCTATTGGATTCTTCTCTGTCATCAATGGCGTCATCATTGTTCTTGGTGGCTCCATTACCGGTGAGTGTGTGAGGCAGTACGTGGGTAGTGAGTGTCTGTGGCAGTACATGGGTGGTGAGTGTACATAGCAGTACATGAGTAGTGAGTGTACGTGGCAGTACATGACAGTGGGTAAGACAGGTATCTGCAACTATCTTAAGACGCTAGTACACAGTGTTCCTCTCTTATGTACTAAGCGGGACGTAAGCTTTAGCTAGCTACTTAACAGCTTGTCTGGTCATCATCTGAGACCCGTCTCAGGGGATACAATCCTTTTCCCGACAAAGAAAAGGATTATATTCCACTGTAGCCTACTGAAGGCAGATGGCGGAGAGGTTTTCACTCTGCACTGAGGACAAAGGAAAAAGTACGAGAGGTGTGCAAATGAGAGTGAAATAACACAGGAGAGTGCGACTTGAGTGAGGTCACTCAGTACAAGGAGGGGGTAGAAGTTCCAGCCTCTGTAAGGCATCATTCATGCAGTTTAAAAATATCTTCCTTCCTCAGGTATGGTGAGGGACTTCTCCGGTAGTTACAGAGCCACTTTCTTCTGGATTTCCTCCGTCATCGCTATTGGAGCCGCCGTCTGGATAACCAAGTGCTGCTACAAGATAATCAAGGCCAAATACAAAAAAGTTCCCGTCCAAACACAGTAGCTGAAAATGAAGCCAAATGAAGCGGACAGAAGTCTAACTGTTAGCCTCTAGTTTAGAAGCATTGGTTGAAGATGGGAGTGTTCAAGCGTTGTTAGTATGTGTTCACCAGCGGTGGTAAAGGCTAAGGCAGTCTAGATGTAGTAATTTCCGTGTCTAGGTGGAGTAGGAGAGTCAAAAATTCTTCAGGTATAACCTAATCCTCTCTAGAAAGAGTAACCGAGGCTAGGTGATGCTAGAAGTAGCACGGTTCTCGTCCAGGAACACTAGATGACGTCAAGCAAGTTCGTTAGTATTTAGTTCAACCTAACGCCTCTCTAGCAAGAGTAACCGAGGCTAAGTGAAACTAGAAGTAGCAAGGCTCCCTTCCAGGAACAGTAGATAAGGTCAAGCAAATTCGTATTCACTTCATCTCCAAGTTCACACACAATTTACGAACGCGGGAGAAGCCCAGCTGAGTAACATTTTTTCCCCAAGTTATCCCCAGGACCTGGAGCATAATTAGGTACGTCTCCCAGTGTAGGAGGTGAATCTTTCCTCGTTTGTCTAGGCTGCTGGCAAAATGTAATTACCATTTCCAGATTAACTTGATTTTTCCGTACAAAATCATTACTGTTTTTTTCCTCTCTAATGAGAAAGAATGATGAGAGTGCCAGCAGTGATCTTGAGAGTGCCAACAGTGCCTATGAGAGTGCCAACAGCGCTTGTGAGAGTGCCAACAGTGACCATAAGAGTGCCAGCAGACAGTGGGGGAAGGGGGGGGGGTGACGTGTGAGAGTGAGCATCATGGGAAGGGGAAGGGACGAGGTGAAGGAGGAAGTTCCAACAACACACAGTAGTCTCAGGAGTGAAGGACAGGACAGTGGACAACAAGGTGCAACACACAGAGCTACACGAGACCTGCTGCCTTGTATCCCAGTGTTGTTTTAACTCGATTTTTCTTGTCCTCTGAGATATTAAAAGTTTTATTTGATTTACAAGACATGAGTATTACTATTGTTATAATTATTATTACTCTTATTATTGTATTATCCTTTTATTCCCTTTCTTTCATTATTATTATTATTATTATTATTATTATTATTATTATTATTATTATTATTATTATTATTATTATTATTATTACTAATATTATTATTATTATTACTATTATTAACAATTATTATTATTTTATTCAATGATGATAATTTTGGACGAGTTGAAAAAGTTTGTATATATATCTTACAGGCAAAATAAATTGTATTCAATACAAAGAGTTTGGTATAAGAGATTTTATAACACTTTCTATTAATGGTTTCCATAAGTCACAGTCTTCTGAAAAAAATTATTTTTGATTCTCGAAGCCAAAATTAAAAATTCAGGTATCTAGCTATAATTGTTATTAAAGAAAGAACTGGCAGTGATTGTGAAGGTGGAAGTGATTGTGAAGGTGGAAGTGATTGTGAGGGTGGCAGTGATTGTGAAGGTGGAAGTGATTGTGAAGGTGGCAGTGATTGTGAAGGTGGAAGTGATTGTGAAGGTGGAAGTGAATGTGAAGGTGGCAGTGATTGTGAAGGTGGAAGTGATTGTGAGGGTGGCAGTGATTGTGAAGGTGGAAGTGATTGTGAAGGTGGAAGTGAATGTGAAGGTGGCAGTGATTGTGAAGGTGGAAGTGATTGTGAAGGTGGGAAGTGAATGTGAAGGTGGAAGTGATTGTGAGGGTGGCAGTGATTGTGAAGGTGGAAGTGATTGTGAAGGTGGAAGTGAATGTGAAGGTGGAAGTGATTGTGAAGGTGGAAGTGATTGTGAAGGTGGAAGTGGGAAAGTGAAGGTGGAAGTGATTGTGAAGGTGGCAGTGATTGTGAAGGTGGAAGTGATTGTGAAGGTGGAAGTGAATGTGAAGGTGGAAGTGATTGTGAGGGTGGCAGTGATTGTGAAGGTGGAAGTGATTGTGAAGGTGGAAGTGAAAGTGAAAGGGGGAAGTGATTGTGAAGGTGGAAGTGATTGTGAAGGTGGAAGTGAATGTGAAGGTGGAAGTGATTGTGAAGGTGGAAGTGATTGTGAAGGTGGAAGTGATTGTGAAGGTGGAAGTGATTGTGAAGGTGGAAGTGATTGTGAGGGTGGCAGTGATTGTGAAGGTGGAAGTGATTGTGAAGGTGGAAGTGACTGTGAAGGTGAAGTGATTGTGAAGGTGGCAGTGATGTGAAGGTGGAAGTGATTGTGAAGGTGGAAGTGATTGTGAGGGTGGCAGTGATTGTGAAGGTGGAAGTGATTGTGAAGGTGGCAGTGATTGTGAGAGTGGCAGTGATTGTGAAGGTGGAAGTGATTGTGAAGGTGGAAGTGATTGTGAGGGTGGCAGTGATTGTGAGGGTGGCAGTGATTATGAAGGTGGAAGTGATTGTGAGGGTGCAGTGATTGTGAAGGTGGAAGTGATTGTGAAGGTGGCAGTGATTGTGAGAGTGGCAGTGATTGTGAAGGTGGAAGTGATTGTGAAGGTGGAAGTGATGTGAGGGTGGCAGTGATTTGTGAGGGGTGGCAGTGATTATGAAGGTGGAAGTGATTGTGAGGGGGGCAGTGATTGTGAAGGTGGAAGTGATTGTGAAGGTGGAAGTGACTGTGAAGGTGGAAGTGATTGTGAAGGTTGCAGTGATTGTGAAGGTGGAAGTGATTGTGAAGGTGGAAGTGATTGTGAGGGTGGCAGTGATTGTGAAGGTGGAAGTGATTGTGAAGGTGGCAGTGATTGTGAGAGTGGCAGTGATTGTGAAGGTGGAAGTGATTGTGAAGGTGGAAGTGATTGTGAGGGTGGCAGTGATTGTGAGGGTGGCAGTGATTATGAAGGTGGAAGTGATTGTGAGGGTGGCAGTGATTGTGAAGGTGGAAGTGATTGTGAGGGTGGCAGTGATTGTGAAAATGGAAGTGATTGTGAGGTGGAAGTGATTGTGAAGGTGGAAGTGATTATGAGGGTGGCAGTGATTGTGAAGGTGGCAGTGATTGTGAAAGTGGAAGTGATTGTGAGGGTGGAAGTGATTGTGAAGGTGGAAGTGATTGTGAAGGTGGCAGTGATTGTGAGGGTGGCAGTGATTTTGAAAGTGGAAGTGATTGTGAGGCGGAAATGATTGTGAAGGTGGAAGTGATTGTGAGGTGGCAGTGATCGTGAGGGTGCAGTGATTGTGAAAGTGGAAGTGATTGTGAGGGCGGAAGTGATTGTGAAAGTGGGAAATGATTGGAGGGTGGCAGTGATTGTGAGGGTGGCAGTGATTGTGAAGGTGGAAGTGATTGTGAGGGTGGAAGTGATTGTGAAGGTCGAAGTGACTGTGAGGGTGGAAGTGATTGTGAGGGTGGCAGTGATTGTGAGGGTGGAAATGATTGTGAAGGTGGAAGTGATTGCGAGGGTGGCAGTGATTATGAGGGTCTCAGTGATTGTGAAGGTGGCAGTGATTGTGAAAGTGGAAGTGATTGTGAGGGTGGCAGTGACTGTGAAGGTGGCAATGACTGTGAAGGTGGCAGTGACTGTGAAGGTGGCAGTGACTGTGAAGGTGGAAGTGATTGTAAGGGTGGCAGTGACTGTGAAGGTGGCAGTGATTATGAAGGTGACAGTTGTTGTGAAGATGGAAGTGATTGTGAGGGTGGCAGTGATTGTGAAGGTGGCAGTGATTGAGAAGGTGGCAGTGATTGTGAAGATGACATTGATTGTGAAGGTGGTAGTGATTGTGAAGGTGGCAGTGATTGTGAAGGTGGTAGTGATTGTGAAGTTGATAGTGATTGTGAAGGTGGTAGTGATTGTGAAGGTGGTAGTGATTGTGAAGATGATAGTGATTGTGAAGGTGGTAGTGATTGTGAAGTTGGCAGTGATTGTGAGGGTGGCAGTGATGGTGAAGGTGGCAGTGATTGTGAAGGTGGCAGTGATTGTGAAGGTGGCAGTGACTGTGAAGGTGACAGTGATTGTGAAGGTGACAGTGATTTTGAAGGTGGTAGTGAATGTGAAGGTGGAAGTGATCGTGAAGGTGGCAGTGACTGTGAAGGTGGCAGTGATTGTGAAGGTGGCAGTGATTGTGAATGTGGCGGTGATTGCGAAGGTCGTAGTGATTGTTAGTTGTCAATTGTTCCAGCCACGGTGTTGTAGGCTGTGAATTGTTCTAGCCACTGTATTATTGCCTGTGAATTGCTCCAGCCACTGTATTATAGGCTGTGAATTGTTCCAGTCACTGCATTATAGGCTGTGAATTGTTCCAGCCACTGTATTATAGGCAGTGAATTGTTCCAATCACTGCATTTTAGGCTGTGAGTTGTTCCAGCCACTGTATTATAGGCTGTGAATTGTTCCAGTCACTGCATTATAGGCTGTGAATTGCTCCAGCCACTGTATTATAGGCTGTGAATTGTTCCAGTCACTGCATTATAGGCTGTGAATTGTTCCAGCCACTGTATTATAGGCAGTAAATTGTTCCAACCAAGGTATAATAGTCTGTGAATTGTTCCAGTCACGGTATCATAGGTTATAAATTGTTTCAGCCACTCTGTTATAGGCTGTGAATTGTTCCAGCCACAGTATTGTATGCTGTGAATTGTTTCAGTCACGGCATTGTAAGCTGTGAATTGTTCCATTCACGGTATTTTAGGCTGTGAATTGCTCCAGCCACGGTATTGTAGGCTGTGAATTGTTCCAGCCATTGTATTATAGGTTGTGAATTGTTCCAGCCACTGTATTATAGTTTGTGAATTGTTCCATTCACTGTATTGTAGGCTGTGAATTGTTCCAGTCACGGTGTTGTAGGCTGTGAATTGTTCCAGACATTGTATTATATGTTGTTAATTGTTCCAGCCACGGTGTTGTAGGTTGTGAATTGTTCCAGCCACTGCATTATATGTTGTTAATTGTTCCAGTCACGGTATTGAAGGCTGTGAATTGTTCCAGCCACTTTATTATAGGCTGTGAGTTGTTCCATTCACGGTGTTGTATGCTGAGAATTGTTTCAGCCACGGCATTGTAGGCTGTGAATTGTTCCAGCCACTGTATTGTAGGCTGTGAATTGCTCCAGCCACTGTATTGTAGGCTGTGAATTGTTCCAGCCACTGTATTATAGGCTGTGAATTGTTCCATTCACGTTGTAGGCTGTGAATTGTTCCAGCCACTGTATTGTAGGCTGTGAATTGTTCCAGCCACTGTATTATAGGCTGTGAATTGTTCCAGCCACTGTATTATAGGCTGTGAATTGTTCCATTCACGTTGTAGGCTGTGAATTGTTCCAGCCACTGTATTATAGGCTGTGAATTGTTCCAGCCACTGTATTGTAGGCTGTGAATTGTTCCAGCCACTGTATTGTAAGCTGTGAATTGTTCCAACCACGGTATTGTAGGTTGTGAATTGTTCCAGCCACTGCATTATAGGCTGTGAATTGTTCCAGTCACTGTATTATAGGCTGTGAATTGTTCCAGTCACGGTATTGTGGGCTGTGAATTGTTTCAACCAGTTACTGTAGGCTGTGAATTGTTCCAGCCACTGTATTGTAGGCTGTGAATTGTTTCAACAAGTTACTGTAGGCTGTGAATTATTCCAGGCACTGTATTATGGGCTGTGAATTGTTTCCCCTTCCCCGGTATTGTAGGCTGTGAAATTTTTTCTAACCACGGTATTGTAGGGGGTGAATTGTTCCCCGCAAAAGGGATTAAAAGGTTTTTGAACTGTTTTTCCCGCCACTTTTTATTATAGGGTGTGAATTGTTCCCTTCACGGTATTGTGGCCCCTAATTGTTTCTAAAACCCCGGTATTTTTGGCCGTGAAAATTTTTCCAGCCACTGTATTGTAAGCTGTGAATTGTTTCCCGCCCCTGTATTATGTTTTTGAATTGTTCCAGCCACGTATTATAGTTTGGGGAATTTTTCCCCGCCAATGTATTATAGGCAGTGAATTGTTCCGTCACGGGATTGAGGCCCGGAACTGTTCCATACGGTGCTGTAAATTTGGGTTTTTTCCCGCCACTGATTAGAGGCTGTGAAATTTTTCCAGCCACGTATTAGAGGCTGTGAATTGTTCCCGCCACTTTATTTTAGGGAGTGAATAGTTTTCCCGTCCGGTTTGTAGTTTTTGAATTGTTCCACCCCTGTATTGGGAGGCTGGGAATTGTTCCAGCCACTTTATTATAGGGGAGTGAATTGTTCCCGTCACGGGTTTTTTATTGTGAATTGTTCCAGCCCCTGTATTGTTGGGTGTGAATTGTTCCGGCCCCCCTTTATTATAAAGGGAGTTTAATTTTTCCCCGTCACGGTTTTGTAAATTGTGAAATTTTTTTCCCGCACTGTTTGTATTGTTTAATTGTTTCCCGCCCCTTTATTATAGGCAGTGAATTGTTTCCCGTCACGGTAAATTTTAGTTGTGAATTGTTCCCCCCCGCCCCTGTAAAG